TTACTTCCTGTGGTCTCACCTGGAGTTACTTCCTGTGGTCTCACCTGGAGTTACTTCCTGTGGTCTCACCTGGGGGTACTTCTTGTGCTTGAGGTACTCGTTGATGGAGGGGTGGAAGTATTTGGCGTAGCCCTCGTTCAGGCTGTAGATCTTTCCCTTCGGTTTAATCTTCACGTTCTTCTCAGTCAGGATGAACTCACCGATGGCCTGATGGGAAAAATAAATATTTACATCAGTGAATACTGTCCTGAACTCTGAGACATTAATTATTTGATAAATCGATCAGTTTTCTTCTGTTTGTCTTCTGATGAAACCCAAGAGTTTTAGGTTTGTCTCAGAAAGTCAGAACACGTTGACCAGATGGAATGAAAACTAAAAATAAAACACATGTCAAAATAAAATCCTTCATCCTTCCTGAACCTTTCTTGTTTTTATTAAATATTCATTCTCATGGAGATCTCTGTGAAGATAAATCTGCTAAAGTTTAAATTTTGGTCAGATGGGCCCCTCAAGAACTAATAGAGGCACTCAGGGTCTCAGATGGGCCCCTCAAGGACTCATAGAGGCCCTCAGGGTCTCAGATGGGCCCCTCAAGGACTCATAGAGGCCCTCAGGGTCTCAAATGGGCCCCTCAAGGACTCAAAAAAGCCCTCAGGGTCTCAGATGGGCCCCTCAAGAACTGATAGAGGCCCTCAGGTTCTCAGATGGGCCCCTCAAGAACTCATAGAGGTCCTTAGTGTCTCAGATGGGCCCCTCAAGGACTCAAAGAGGCCCTCAGGTTCTCAGATGGGCCCCTCAAAAACTCAAAGAGGCCCTCAGGGTCTCAGATGGGCCCCTCAAGAACTCATAGAGGCCCTCAGTGTCTCAGATGGGTCCCTCAAGGACTCAAAGAGGCCCTCAGGGTCTCAGATGGGGCCCCTCAAGAACTCATAGAGGCCCTCAGATTCTCAGATGGGCCCCTCAAGGACTCACAAGGCCCTCGGAATCTCAATTAAGGCCCTCAAGGACTCATAGAAGCCCTCAGGTCCTTAGATAGGCCCCCTTAGGGACTCACCGGGTCCAGCATGAAAAAGTTGAGTCCGGCTCCGGTGCTGAGGGCCACCAGGGTGGCGCTGCCATACAGGGCATAGCCGGCACACACCATTCTGTTCCCAGGCTGCAGGGCGTCCTGCTCCGTTGGCTCCTCCTCTGACACCTGAACACCACAAACACCAAGAAGATCAAATTAAACAAATACAAAGAATGGAAATGATTCAAACTGAAGTTTGGTTCAGATAAACTACAACTGATTCAAGGAAGAAGCTGGTAAAAGATAATGGATGGATGGATGAATGGATGGATGGATGGATGGATGGATGGATGGATGGATGGATGATTAAAATCTGCAGATTCTCTGAGCAGCAGCGCCCCCTGCTGGCTGTGAGTTCAGATTATTTCCACCTGTTCTGAGGTCAAAGTAGAACTTTTACAACCAAAAGACACTTCTGCTCCTTTTTCACTCAACCTTCTGCATACAGAGGTTCACAGTAAACTCAGAAAGTATTGTTTAAATACTATATATTTTAAAATAAATGCAGTTTGTTACAATATTGTTATTTTGAAAAAAAAAAAAAAAGACCAAATAAATACATTAGTATACCGTCATAAGAACAAAAACCTTCATTAAATACAGATTTTATTAAAAGTTTTTGTCTGAAACAAACTCTTTCTGCTAATTCTCAAAGTTATCAGACACGGTTGTTTTCCGTGGTTTTAAACTGAAATCATTTATTTAGTTTTGGTCAAAGCTCCTGAGGGCCGCTGCAGAGGGACCAGCGGGCCTTGTGGGGCCCCAGAGCCACTGGTTGTGGACTCGAGGGGGAACTGACCCGTTTGTAGATGGCGAATATGGTGCCGATAGAAGCCAAGCAGTCGATGTTACTGGATCCGTCCAGAGGGTCAAAACACACCACGTACTTCCCCTGAGAGCAGAACCACAAAGTTCTGTTACACCCAAACATGGACCAAGTCTAATAAATAAAATACAAATACAAAGTTTTTATATAAAACCTTCGGCTGTCCGAGCCTTATAAATAATGAGCTAATCTGTTTTATTCTTTTGTATCCATGTATAGTTTTATTGTGAAAAGTACTTAAATAAATAAACTCATTAGTTTTTCTAACCTCAAGAATTTATTCCTCTTTTAATTTTCTGAACAGATTTTACTGGAAACTTTATTAAAAAAAAGTGCATTGGAGGAATTTAAACTAGTGAATAGCAATACTAATACTGACACGGATACCAATATAATACTGATACTACTAATGATACTAATACTGATAATTATATAGATACTGATACGAATACCCACACCAATACTGATACTGGTACAGATAAAGATATAGTACTAAAACCAATACTGATATGGATACTGATAATGATACCAATACCAATACTGACAAAGATACAAATACAAAAACAGACACTGGTACTGATAATGATACCAATATTGACACTGATACTGATACCAATACTGATATAGACACTTATAATGATATAGACACAAATTCTGATACACATACAATACTGATACTGACACCGTAACCGATACTGATACTAATTCAATTCAATTCAAAAATACTTTATTAATTCCAAAGGGAAATTAAATGTTGTAACTCTTTATCCTCATTTCATTAAGAGATACAGTATTATAGATGCTGGAGGCTGTAGGCAGGAAGGATCTCTTGTAAAGGTCCGTCCCACAGCGGATCCAAAGAAAATGGCTGCAGATGCTGTTTGATCCACCCACCCAGACTCGGCTGGCCTCTCGGTTCTCCCAGGCTGCAGGACCGCCTAAATGCCGGTCTGAACTACTCCCAAAGCAATGGCCACTCCTCCCAGCAGACTGCGATCTCCTCGTTGCTGCAGACAGCCAGCCAGGGGATGAGCCCGGTCCTTCTGCTGTCACGAGCCATGTTTCCTGCCAGCTCCAGGATCTCAATGGTCAGACATTTGAGCACAGCCGGCAGGGAGACGAGAATGCATCCACAGCGCCTCCTTTTCAACTCATTTGAGATTTGAGGCTGTAGTTGAGATATTATTTGAGCTTTTGAGATGTGAATCAGCTTCTCCTGGTTGTAGAAAACCACCTTGATGTCATGGTTACGTAACAAATGTCCAAAACTAAATTTTTTTAAAATTCAAAATCCTTCCAGCAGCACAGCATCCGATACCAGAGGAAATAATCATCCAAAAAAAGTGATTACATCCAGAAAAGGAGAAATTAAAGTTTCCAAAGGTAAGATTTCAGTATGAAAGTAACAGAACTGCTCCAACATGCAGCCACCCCGAGCGGCGCAATTCTAGAATACTGATATTGATACTTGTAACGATATTGATACAATTTCTGATACACATACAACACAGATACTGGTACTGATACTGTAACCAATACTGATACTGATACCTATACTTATATAGATACTGCTACTGACATGATACTAATACCAGTGCTGATGCCTAAAGCAATACCAATAATAATACTGATACTGATACCTATACTTATATAGATACTGCTACTGACATGATACTAATACCAGTGTTGATGCCTAAAGCAATACCAATAATAATACTGATACTGATACCAATACTGATACAGATACTGGTACTAATACTGGTATCAATACTGATGCTGATATCAGTACTGATACAACTACAGGTACTAACACCAACACAATATGTTTCCAAATATTTATTGTGTACTAGTGATTTCAAGACCCTCACCTGGTGACTCACAACCTACATGGAGTCCTCACCCAGCTCTGGGAACAGATAATTGATCAAAGTTAATAAAGTTGATAAAGTAAAGCACCCCCCGTTACCCTCTTGTCTTTGGGCGTGACGATGAGCTCCTTGTTCTCCTCAGACACCATGCAGCAGGTGCTGTAGGACGCCTGCAGCATGTTGATCACCAGGGCATTGGACAGGACGTCCAATTTCTTCACATCATCCCCCGTCACGTTCACAGAGCCCGCCATGCCCTGTCTGGAGGAACCGAGGACACCAGAACCAGAGTTAAACCCTCACAGATGATCCAGCAACAAAACACAAAAACTTCTAGACCAAATATCCAGATCTTCTGTTGAAGTGGTCCTAGAACCACTTTAACAGGAAGTGGATCCAGAACCACTTTAGCAGGAAGTGGATCCAGAACCATTTTAGCAGGAAGTGGATTCAGAACCATTTTAACAGGAAGTGGATCCAGAACCACTTTAGCAGGAAGTGGATCCAGAAATATTTTAACAAGAAGTAGATCCAAAACCACTTTATCAGGAAGTAGATCCAGAACCATTTTAGCAGGAAGTGGATCCAGAGCCACTTTAACAGGAAGTGGATCCAGAGCCATTGAAACAGGAAGTGGATCCAGAACCACTTTAACAGGAAGTTGATCCAGAATTTTTTTTATCAGGAAGTGGATCCAGAACCATTTTAGCATGAAATGG